CTTCTCCATCTCCTACTCCCTACCCCGCTTCCCTGCTTGCCTCTTGCATGTTGAAAATCAGAAATGTTAATGGCTGCAGTTAGATTTTTAAGCCGTGGGCATCGTCAGAAGCCATACAAGTTATGACCAAGTTAAACAAGGCCATGTTAACAATTCCCATCTTGAACTTCAGTGACAATTAGTTCATTGCTCTGATGGAAAGGTGAAGATACAATGAATGAATTTTTAGATTAGCCTTTAGTGGAGTAAGGTCTGTGTCAGATGGATGTAAACTTCTTTCTGACATTTGAATTGTCTAAAAGCTACGTAGCTACAGCTAACAAGGTGCTGAGGTGGTAAATGGCACTAAAGGGCTGGGCTTAGCCTGGAACCGGTGCAGCTCCTAGACTGGTCAGTTCTGAGTATTTTGCAAACAGTGAGAAGTTCTAGGCACTGTTGGGAATTCTGCGTTGTTAATACACTTTTTTTCTTAAAATGTTTGCTTGTATAATGATGAAACAGTGACTTCTTTGAAGTCTTAGTAAGTATTTGTACATATGTTATTTACTCTGCAGAGTTGGTAGAAATCGAAGACGGGGAAAGTTGGGGAGATCTAAACTCACCTGTACTTAACTGAGTAATTGCGCTTTAAAAATGAAATTGTTCCTGAAATTTTGGTGTGGCATTGTAAAGTATAATGCGGTTAAAGATATTTTTCACCCTTAAATAGCAAGTAAGTCACATTAATTAAGTTATCGTGTCTTTGCTGACCTGTTCTGTAAGTTTCTGGTTCTGAATACCTCATGGGTTGCAGAATTTTCTACTCAAGCTGAGGTAGGGGGAAGGTGGAGGTGGTGGGTTTATTGGTGGACTTATATCTTAGAAGGTAATTGGCTTTTACTTTTTCCTTTTTATCCCTTTTGCTTTTAGATATATTGTTAAGTGTATTTTGTCTAGGTTCTCCCATTGCCCCCAGTCTTCTTGTATTTGCTTAGTGTGTATTTTGAGGAAATGAATGTTTTTTGCTTTGGCTCGACAGGGTAAATGTTCCACCTTGTGGTAGTTTAGATTTCATTTTGTTATTAAAGTCAAGCTGTAGTGCTTATTTTTGCCTATAGCAAATTTCAAACTGTTTATAGGTGTAAAGATGTAGGTTTTTGAAGAGTCTAGCATGATAAAATTTAGAATTATAGAATATTACTATACAGTACTTGTAGCTTCTTATTCTAGAGGCATCATTGTATAGTCAATGCCATTGCAATTCCATTTTCTTTTCTTTTGAGGGAGTTAAGGTTTCCTCTGTAAATTGAAAACTTCTGAAAAGATTTTGGTATAATAAATGTTAGACACTGATAATATGTTCTGGCTTTTAATATCAAAGTTGTTTTCCTACAGTACTAATGAACTTTTTTTTTTTTTCTCCTTTAGGAGAATACATAAAAAACTGGCGGCCAAGATATTTCCTGCTAAAGACAGATGGCTCTTTCATAGGCTATAAGGAGAAGCCCCAGGATGTGGATCTGCCATATCCACTCAACAACTTTTCAGTGGCAAGTATGTATTTCCAGTATTTATTATTCTCTCAGGATATTGACAAAGTATCTGCTACATATTGCTTTTTGTATAGTTCAGAATTTATTGGTAACACTGCAAGTTTGATACCATGTGTCAGACTAGTGCACCTCTAATCTTATGTCCAGCTCTGCAAGATATCTTTACAAGTGTGTTGATGATTTTACCATGGGTTGGTTTTTGAATATTTTTCTGTTCAAGTCTAAGTTCTCATTTTTATGTGTGTGTGTCTGAAGCATGCATGAAGTCTGTAACTAACAATAACATTTGACAAATGATTGTTGTAAGAAGAAAATTCCTGGAAAGCTTACCTTTATTCGGATCATTGACCTCTTTTCTCTTTTTCAGTAGTATCTCTGAATTCACTTGAAAACTCAAATTAATTAGAAAATTATCTAGACTGTCAAATGATACAAAATCATGCTAAATTATTTTTCTCTTGGATAATCAGGTAATCAGCTCTCCAGCCTGGTTAATCAGTAATTTCAAGCAATCAGACAATTTGCATATATTAGCAAAGCTACCAAGTGTGTATCTGTTAGATAAAGTGAAGATATTTTGATTTCTTGTTTTCTGAGAATTTTTCTAAAAGATAAATCTGTATTTTTTTTGATCTAGCAAAGTGAGATTGGTAGAAGAGTGTTTCTGAACAGAAATGAAAGTATCTGAGGAGCAAAACTCAGGGGGCAAAAAGATCTCCCTGGATATGAGTTGTGGCTATCATAGCTAGAAACTTTCAAAGGAACATTAAAAAATTTACCCAGTTTCTTTCAAAATTATGTTAATGTACTGCAATACGATAAAAGGAGATGTTTAGTTTTATAGGGAGTATTGGAGGCTCAAGAGCATGTTTACTTAGAGAAAGGATTCCATTCATCTGCATTGCTGAAGATAGCCCAAATGCTACTGAGACTGATTTTATGTCTTTTCTTGATAAAATTGTTCTTGAGCATGTCTCAGCCTTTGTATACAAAGTAATTTGCAGATTTTATTTGGTAAAAAAACAATTTTGTGCTCCAAGACCAGGTCCACTAAAGAAAAAAACCTTGCTTATTCTGATTGTGACAGAAATCTTGCAAATGATACTGAATGTGCAAGCCTTCTAATAATATTAGAGGCTCATTTTGCCTTGTTGCTGTTCAGCATAAAAAGCAGTGATGTATTTAAGTTGTTCATATGAATAGGAATTGGCTAGGTCATAGGTCATTATTCCTTAGTTATTGCTCTGAATATCCTAACCTTTTATAGGAGTTAGTAGTTTCCTAGTTATTTTTTCACCAATGCGCAGCAGAAAGAACATTTGTAGCACTGCAGTAGGGTTTTTTTGTCCTGCTTTACCATGTTCTTCCTTGCATATCCTATCTTCCTTTGCTGCAGCAACTAGAAGGATGATCCAAATGGTAGTTCTGCTAAGCAAAGACATGCATAATAAGCAATTTATTCCAGTGTGTTGATACTAGTGAGTTTGTTTTTGTTTTGATACCCAGAGGTCATCTTATGTAATTCTGATATTAGAATACTGCCCCTGAACTTTGCCTTGGTGGAAATTGCAAGATTTCATATTATTTTCCAAAGTGACACCATCACCACCACTACTCAGCATCCCCCCACCCCTTCTCCCCCATCCAAAAAAAGCCCTTTCTGTAACTAGCAAGCCCAGTAGGGTCTGATTCTTAGGCAATGTAAGCTAAAGGAACAGGCATGCAATATTAATTGAAGAAATAGAGGTTTCGTAAGCATGATGAGTTTTTCTGTGATCTGGCAGGAAAAGGAGTAATTTAATCAGAAGTAATTGCTGATCAGTGCAAGAGTAGGGAGATTTTTCACTCATAAACATAATCCCATGAAATTAAGTGAAGTGCCTATGTAGAATTCACAGGATGAAAAGCAAAACTGTGGTATTACACTTTAAATTGCAAGGGACTGTAAGTTTTTGTCAGCTATTTTATTTGTCTGAAGATGAGATCGTCATAGGGCAAACAAATGAACAAACAAAATTGCTATATGAATGAATCACATCTCATGGGCAGTACCTGGTAAATGTCAAGAACCAGTCTCATGGCCTCTGATCCAAGAGTTCCTGAGCTGCTGCAGTAGGTTTGTGGCCACAAGCAGTGCAACATATTTTTCCTGTAATAGTGAAGTACGTTTTTCATAAATTACTAGCCAGGCAGATGGAGTGTGAGATCACTGTTAATACCATCTTGATTAGGTTGGCAGGGACTTAAAGATATGTCTTTACAGTCCTATCTTCATGTAATCTTTGTAGCTATCTGTAAAGTGAGAGTGTGGTCTCAGTCTACTTTTTGCTCTCCAAATGATAGACATCTTTGGCTCTTGCTTACAGCTTGTTATTTAAGCAGAAAAGGCCAAGGCTGTGGTATTATTTTTGTAGTACTGTTGGAGTTGAACACTGGAAAGTTTGCACAGCTCTGCTTTGTATGACACTTGTTCTGTAGTTTAAAACTTTTACATCCAGCTCTGTCAAACTAGTTATTTCCATCATATGGATATTTTCCCACCAGTATCTGCCCTCTTCCACTCCTGTGATACGAACTTTACTTTTGCAAATGGCTCTTTCCCAGCACAGTACCGTTTTCCTTACAGTAGCTCCCCGATTTCTTCCAAGATAACTTTAAAGACCCACACCTGAGTGTTACTTTCTCCCTGGTCTTGTGTCATCCGCATACTCCATTGGGAATGACAGGTAGGCAGGAGAGAATTAAGTTATTTTACGTAATGCTAATGGTGCTTGCAGTGCTAAATATGTCTTTGTTAATAAAGCCTTTCTCGTTGGGTGGTGTTTTGCATAGGATGGAGTCTTCAGAGGCCATCCCTTTTCCTTGGGGTGATCTGTGGGGGAATGTAGGGGGAAGGCATTGGGAGATGGCTGTGTAAACAGGTAGACGCTTTATATAGAGAGAGAGAGCCTGAGACAGCACACGCATGCTTCAGGCCATTGCTGGCCACCCAAAATGCAGGGGAACCGCGTGGGCCTGAAGTGGAGGTGAAGATGTCTCTTCCTTGGAGCACAAGTACGTCCCTGAAGGTGAAACAGAGTTGACTGAAGTGTGTGACAGAGCAGGGCTGGATGGAGCTGAGCCCTGGGGGAGAATACAGGACTGGCCCCTCGGTGTCCTGGACAGGGACTTCGCTTTGTTTACTCGTGGCTGCTGCTCTCCCGCCTTCAGGCATATGCCAAAGGCAGCAATGTGCACCACACACTGCATCCGTGGAGCTGCCACAAGGTTGCAGGGGTGAACAAATCAGCCAGATCTGGTGACAGTGGATAGTGTGTAGGAATCACTCTACTTTCTCTCCTGTAGAGCCAGCTTATTTTACACCAAACAGAGCCGCCTTTTTTAACATGGGAGTTGAGAGAACTGTATATTTGAAGTAAGCTTTTAGTTCCCTAATGCTCATGCCCTGACACTTAGACTCACAAAAAGTTGTGCTGTGGTATCTTACCATGCACTTAAAGATAAATGGAGGCTATGTAATTAATTACATTGGTGGGAAATTAATGGTGGAAACTTAAAACTGGTTGATGCTGGTTTTCAGAGGTAAATTCAGAAGTGTGAGGTTACTTGAACTGTCTGGTTCAAAATCAGTTCAGCTTTTTTCAGGTGGAGACAAGCAGTTGCAAGTAATCAAGCTATTGTAGCTTAAAGAGATACTCTTGATTGACTGAGTCACAGTAACTGAGTGGGTGTGCATTCCTAGCCCACTTCAACTGCAAAATAAGATATGTTAATGTAAATTGATTTTGCTTAGGCATTTATGCAGTCAGAACTATTTTAAAAATAATTTGGATTCTATTGGTATAACTTCTCTGTACAGGCAGAGGCCTGAAAAAAGTCCTGGCTTTTAAAGCTCCATTATGCTTCTTTGGAACAAAACTAGTACTCTGGGTGACAGCATGTGTACTCTCAGTGGCTTCCCTGAAAACCAACATGGCCTCACAACACTGTTTTTAACTGGTCCCGTGTTGTGTAAGTAGAATCAACACTGCTTTGTGTAAAACATTTTGGTCTTTGATCGTCATCATTATTAGGGAGAGCAGAGTGGGGAAGAATTCTAATTCAGTCTACTTAAAGAGCATTTGAGGCTTTACTGATAAAAAAAATACTTCTCACATATGCAATGAGTATGTTGGTAATCACATAGCACATTTGGGATGAGGTATCTCTAAGAATTGGCCCTTTGCCTTCATTTTGATCTTTACGTGGGGAATAATTGGGAAGAGCTGCATCCCTTCACAGTAGCCTTTGAGCTTTGGCCAAAAATGATGTCACCTGGAATTTCTTTCCTATCTTGAAAGATAGTGCTTTCTAAGCACTCTGTGGTATAGCTACCCTTTTTCTTGTCTTTGAAAAGAAAAGGCGAATTTTAATTATTTTTATAACCTTTCCTTTATTATTTTTCTCTACAAAAATGATTATCGATGAACCTTAGCTATTCTAAATGGAGAAGCTGTGCTACTTTTTCTTAGTCTTAATCTTTCAGTGGGCCAGAGACAAGGTTTTATTATTTTGGGGATTTAAAAATCTTCAAAATACAAAAATTGAAAGTTTTCAGGGGAATGATGTAAGGGCTATAAAGAATTCTGAAGACACTGTCTAAAGAAATGGGTAGGGAAAAATGTGTATGTTTTAAGTGAGATTAAATTGTGCATCAAAATACTTGGCATTAGACGTGACCTTGTGTGCAACTCACAATTAACTTTTCAAAGAGGTTTAAGTTTAAAGTCCCATTTTTTTTTAATTGTCACAACACTGGATGACATGAATGCAGAGATAAGCATGTAACTGTAGATATTTATAATTACAGTATCGATTTAATTTCAAAATAATAATAATAACAACAATGGTGCAATTGAATAAATAATGTTAATTCAGCACTGAAATACTTGCGGGGAGAAGGCGGCAAATGTATGTGTAATGCACGGCATATGCAAGTGCATCTATGGAAATTCGAACTCA